TTATTGAAGAATGAACCTTATCATGTTTATCAAATGCTGCCAAAAATGCTTCAAAATTGTGTAATATAGAAAAATTCTTTTCAAATAATGGGATGAACTAGGATAAAGCTTGACTCGGGGATAAGGTTCCAACTAAACCAATATGAGAGGCTTGAGTGAAATATCATTAAAGTTGAAGTAAGGTGATTAGTCATACTTGATTTACAAAGCCACAAAATTTTAAGTGGATACCATTGAACTTTTTCAGAAGGCTGATCCTAAGTTCTTTTGTTGTTATTATTGTCAAATTGTTGCCATAAGTAGATGCACTTCCTATATTTGAAGTAGACATAGTTGTTTGAGAATTTGGAACCTCTGTTGCAATTTGATGTGGTGGTTGAGGCACTTTGGCTCTTTGACCATTATGTATGGTCATATATAGTTCTTTAATTTGCTTTGACAAAGTCTCTATTTTAATCTTTAATATTTTAAGAGTATTAATAATAGAATCTAATTTGATCTCTTTTGAGTCTGTCATATTGATTTTTTTACCTTCTGCCATAGAAAATCAAAGAAACATACGCCTTCAAAAGAAAAAAAAATCTGATTTATGATATAAAAAAAAAAACCAAAAGAATATTAAGAAAAGAACGATATTAGTCTAGAGGAAGGTAATCTGTAATCTCTAGAATATTATAGTACTATCAAGAAGAGAGATAATGCATTCTCTGTCAAAAAAGAACAAGCTCTTAATATTATTTTATGGCAATCTTGACAAACTATTAAAGACCACATATAAGATAAAGATTGAAGATTAAGGAATAAATTTAATTCAACATTAAAATAATAACTAGATACAAAGCAAGAAGGTCTTAGCTAAACCACAAGAAGTGATTTATCGAGACTGAGGATCCTCTCAGCCTCAACTTTTATATATATTAGGTTCTAAGAAGGTTCTTGAGAAGTTTTTATGAGGCTTGAGAACAAAGTAAGCTTAAGATCCTTCTTCAACAACTTCCTAAATCATCTAAAGCCTCCTAGAACCTTCTAGGATCCCTTATGACCTTCTAGAACTTTCTTAAAATCTACTAGAACCTTTTGAAACCTTTTGGAATCTCTTAGAACCTTCAAGAGCCTTCTTAGAACCTACTTATATTTTCTAGAATCTTTCAAAATATTTTAAAACCTTCTTCAATTATAAATCCATGAAATTTTATATAAATAACTAAAAAGACATGAGATTCTTTTTCATACTTCTTTTAACTACTAACTAATATTTATAATTTTTTAGATAATATTTATAAATAGAATATTAATATGAATATTAACCTTAATAAATAATTCTTAATATTCAATAATAAATAAAAAAATATTAAATCAACTAAGATAATTGCTTCTAAATCTTACTAGGACTTTAATTCTATAACTAATATTCTAATTTTCTATTTGTCTAAAGATTTCTATACTATTTACCATATATTGTGGTTTTAAGCACTCTAAATATATTTTTTTATCTTAAAACAACTAGTGAGTCAATTTGAAGAATCATACTTATGTCGTATTTGTTTTTTCATAAAAGTCATTTCTACAAATAAGTTTTTAGCTACAAATTGTTTTGCTATCCTACTTATAATAAGGACACAAAGAGTAACTAATTGTCCTCCATCTTTGAAAGAGATTATCCTTATTCACTAATTGACTTATTTATTTTCTACCTCTAACTATGGCATACTAAAGATAACATCATATCTAAGCTTTGTTATTCTAAAATTCTTCCTTAAGGCATATGAGTCACTTAGTCTTAGGATTTCTTCTTCACATATCTTACTCAGCAAGTTTTCTTGTTCATCTTTTATTTTAATCTACTAAATATATACTATCTCCTTTGTTCATCATTATTTTAATTCCAAGTTGATTGAAAATTATCATTGAGATGCAATTTTTTGTAGAGCCTTAATCCATAAGCACTCAATATGACTATCTTCTTAGTTGATCCATTAGACATATCAATCAACCTTTCTGATAGTTATCTAAGGTCATGTTATTTGTCTTTGAAAAATAGCAACTATTTCCAATACTAGCTCTCGATGCCCTTATTAAAGAGCCATGTTTTTTTGCTCGATTTCTTCATCAACTTGGTGGCCCTTGAGATTATAAATCTATAATGATTTATTGATATTTAAACTTTGACATTTTGAATAATCTCTAATTTAATGATCTAGCTCTCAACAATAAAAGCACAATCCCTTGTATGCCAATATTTGTCATTTTTTTGGTATCAATAGTCTTTGCAGAGCATCAATCTCCATTAGGATTGGTTGTTGTAACATAATATTTGCTAGTGGCATAGGATTCCCCACTATAGGTTGTACTCCATAATTTTTGAAATGCATACCATCGATTCTCTCTACAATTTTAACTACCTTTCCAAATGTTTGTGGATCTCTTAATTCCACCTCTTGTTGGACCACAGATTTCAATCCTTGTATAAATCAATCCATTATCTCTACTTCTAAAATTTTGTCAATTTAAAAATATAGGGACTTTAATTAAGAGATATAATCTTACACTAACTTAGATTGTGTAAGGTTAGCCAACTGATTGGGTGCTAACTTTTTCATATTAATAAGCCAAAATTGACTTTTAAGCTCAATTTTAAACTCCTTCCAATCACAAAATCTACCTTGAGCTCCATAGCCTTGAACTCAATGTCACTACCAAATAACTGCTGTATCTTTCAAATAATTGGAGGCATATATAATTTCTTTTCTCATATTTGTCCTAGATAATTGGAAGTATTGTCGCATATTAAAGAGCCATTGGCATACTTCTTCTTGCATTGAGGTCTCTAAGTATGTATTAGGCTTGCTTAATTTCAACCTAGTAGGTGTCAACTTCTTTGCCTTAGAAGCTTCTATTTGTCGTTGCACAGTAGCTATTTAGCCTAATAGGTGTTATATTTAAATTTCTATTTGGAATTGCTTTGTCATATCTCTCATACTATAATTTTTTTGCTGAACTTTATTATTGTAATATAGTCTCTTTTTCTAATTAACTTCTTAAAATAGCTCATTGTAGCTCTAAAATAATATTTGATGTGATCACAATAATTGAATTCTGACTAAATAGTGGCTATCAATGCACTACTAAAGAACAAACTAACACTTACTCTAATACCAATGAAATAGGAGTAGATTTTATAAGGTCTAAAAATATACTAATTTTATAACAACAAAGATCTTGATACAATATAAGAATAAATATACTAGAATAAAATTAAAAGTAATTAAATGGAATGAAACATGAAAGACAAGATTGAGTAAAAGAAAATAGAACCAAATACTATCAAACCAAAAACACAATAAGAAAAAGCAACCATATTTTACTAAGAAAAAAAATATGAAACCATATCTAACAAAATGCCCAAATAGACTCATTTAGTTTTATTTATATTTTGTTCAATTATCCTTGTAATTTTCTAGAATGTCTCCAATGGTAGATTCTACCAAAATAACTACCTTTTTAAAAGACTCTAGAAATAGGTCCTACAACGGTAACTGTCTTAAGTCTTTTTAGAAGGTTCTATGGTAGATTTCACATGAACCACCATGCTAACTCTAATTCTAAAAACTTCTCAAAAATGACTCCAATTATATATTTCTATGTGTGCATAATACAAATATCCTATCCATTGCCTATTACAATATGAATCAAAATAAGAACTTTAAAATATTCTTATATAACTCAAAAAGAATAAATATTTATTTTAAAAATAATATAATATTAAGACTAGAATGACTATTACTAAAGACAAGAAGAATATAGATTCTTGAAACTAGATTAAGAACAAAAAAATATTAACAAGAGTAAAGAAGGCTTTACTCTTGACTCCATATATACTATCATACTAAGGAGCTACGTAGCGATGTTCTATAGGACCTCCAATATATGTTGACTTTGCAAGACACATGTCTTAAATTGCAAGACAAGTTTTTAATATGTGTGCCATATAATTAGCTTGTTTCACAAGCTATCAATATGTATGATACATGGTTAACTTATTGACCAAGTATTTAACCTATTAATCAACTACAAACATATGTAAAGTCAAAGTCAAATCTATGAAGCTTTTAAGAAGCTTTTTTAGAAGATATTATGAAATTAATCTATTTTTATCTATTTCTATTTACTCATATAGGTAATTACTGGAATAAATATGTATGTCCATGACATCTATACTTATTTCTAATTTATTCCATTCATTTTTCACCACCAATTTCTCCTTGGTGGTAAAAAATGGTCACCATTCATACCCATTTTTTATTACTTCCATCTTTTTCATGCAAAACCATATCTTAGTCATGACAATCACTATCCATGCTAAAAAAAAATCCCTTCTTTTTTCCTTACTTTTCCCTTTGCTACGATTGCTGCTGCCATTCTCTATAAAGGGGCACTACTTTCCTCATAGTACTCTCTGCAGGATTCGGCAAGCCCCCCTCTTCCACTCAACTAAGCGACTTTCAAGACAGTTTGTTTTGCCCCCGTCTTCCACTCAACTAAGCGACTATCTAGACAGTTTGTTTTGTGGAAGACCACCTACCCATGTTGTCCCGCCATGCAACGCTACTGGTGCGAGGGGAAGGTCGTCGGGACTTGCGACCACCTTCATTATTGGATTGCATGCTCGACAAGTTCTCCCATGTTCCCTACACGATCCCCATCTCCACAATTCCGGCACGTTACTTGTCCCCGGCGCTTTCCCCGTGCTCCCCTGCTTGCCCCGCCACGTTCCCTTCCTTGCTCTCTTTGCATTGCCCTCCTTGCCCCCCTGCGCGGGCAGCCAGTTTCTCCCAAGATCCTCCGCCCGCTCTATGCGTTCCCCATGAGATTCCTATAGACTCTGTAACGGCCAGGATTCAATCTGGAAATCTGACGGTCCAGATGTCTCGAGCCAGTCGATTGAACAAAGAGGTTTCTGAGACACGTAGTGACGAGGGCAGGCGTGGGCTCCTAATACAGGATTCCGAGCTCGTCTCATCGTCAATGCAGCAGCATCCTTCACAAATGAAAAGCTTGCGTTGATTCATCTTCATCGCAACTCATATGATTTCTTAGAACCCTCGCTTGCGCTCATTCAATCCCACCCATCTGTAGCACAATTCCATTCAGCATGTCTGCTTGTCAGCAATGCTGTTGTTTTTTCGCTTCAGTTGTCAGAGGTCGCCTCAGTTGGCGGCTTAGAGCTTAGCTTGTCCTCTCCGCCCTCGTTCTCCTCAGCAGTTGCATTTATTCTGAGAGCTCGGAGGGTTCGCTTTTCAGTTTTTAGCGACGTGGGTTTTGGGTGTGTTCTTTGGAATTGAGAACATGAGATGTGGGGGAGGTGGGAGAGGAAGCAATTATGTGCTTGATTTAGTTGTTGAGGCGAGTGTTTGCGGTTGGAGTGGTCTTTTTGGAGTTCTGTCGCTGTTTCGTAGTGTTTTTGCTGCATTTAGATTCATTTCCGAGGTGTGAGGATGTCGGGTGTAAGGAGAGGCGACTTGGGGACTTATTTTAGGAGGAGCCAGTTTGAGCCTCTGGTATCCACGTTGCCCTATGAGCATAGTCTGGATCACGTGCCTAAAAATGAAACGGTTGTGGGCACTGATACCTTGATTGGGGTGAAGCTCGGGAGTGCCATACGGTTGTCCATTCTCAAGCTTGATGGCATCCACTTTGGTACATACCTCCTTCCATGCGATGCCCTTGAATGCTATCTTTGAAAAACTTGAATAATTTTCCATCCTCATAAAACTGGTCGCATACTTTAGACAACTCCCAGATATGTGCAGCGCATGCCGGTGAAATGCTTTTGTAAATTATTTTTTTCCCCTCGTTCACAAAATGGCAGAGAAATTTTCTGTCAATGTTCTTCGCAAACTTTATAGAATTGAATCTAGGAATTTCATGAAGTATACATATGGATATATATATATATCATCCCTTGCACGAAATAATATGTATCCTGCCTCGATCAGAATCATGTTATAAACTATCCTTATCCTCAGGAACCTCTCATTGTAGCTTTAAAGTGATTTCCATTTGTAAAGGGTGACATCAATTTCCCCTGACTATTATCAGACGTGCACCACCGTAGTTCAACTCTATATCGGAACGTACATTGAAAATGACACTCTCATTGATGCCGCCATATCGACAGTATGTCCAAATTCTCATGTTTGAGAATGTGTTCGAATACACTTTGATTTCAGAAGTTACCGTGCCGAACAATGGCAAGGTCAGAGATCTGAAGCAATCAATCATGATGTACGTCGACTCCGACGAGCAATCACAGCTTGGCCACAGACACATTTCATGGTTAATACTCCAATCATGGTTGACTTGATGTGAGGTTGTGCAGGGTCATGAACGTTCCTTCGCACTTCAAATGTGGCTTTGAACCTAGTTTTTTAGCACACGTTAAATGAAGTTTATTCATTTGAGGAATGAAGGGTTGCATGAGATGCTCAACATTTTCTATCCATTTGTGTGTCGCAGGAAGCATGTCTGGAACAACTTCTGCTTAAGTTTTGGAAAGGAGAAGCTCGTGGATGATGACGCTCGTCTTCATGATTTTGGCATAAGAAACAACGACGAGGTATGTTATCTAACTTCACAGTCGTCTCGGCATTTCTGGTGTTAACACGTAGTGTCGTCATTAGTCTACACCTTTCAGTATTTGATTTTTCTCTGGTGTAACTTGTTTAGTTTAATGGCTTAGTTCAATACATCTGCGTCATCCTTTCATGCTTCTTGGAGCGTTTCTATGTTAATACAGCCATTTCTTACATTCGCACTGAAACGTCAAGGGTCGCTGATTGTACAGCTGAGATTTGAGCACCATGTAGCTGCTAGAGAGGAATTCCGTCACCCACGAGTTATGAAACCCCGTTTCTTTTATGGTCCCCACAAAAATTGATCAGCAGATGACCTGCATACATTACCACAGAAATAATGTTGGTTACAAAAAAGGTTTTGCTCCTGGTAATGAATGCATGCATACACCAGTCTTGCAGAATGTGGTATGTACAATTTTGCTCTACCGGACAGTGTATATCTAATATAATAGTTAAGAAATTTGGCCGTTGCATTTTTTTTAGCCAACGTCGAGGTGCATTCAAATTGCAGTAAAATGCAACGGCCAAGTTGCAATTAATTACAACTTGTGAATATGTCTCAGTTTCATCAGTGCTTAGGCTTTGCACAATACCATTCAGACCTGGTATTCCAGAGGTATTGCAACAGTAAGATTTGAAGAGGTTATTGTCTTCTATGAACTGACTCGAACTTCGAAGTTAATGTTACAGGGAGTTTTACCTCATTGTGGGATTTTTACTTTAAATTGTTGTATTTCTGGAGGTTCACAGGAAAAGAAGTGAGGAGAAGGCCGTTGCATTTTACTGCAAGTTGAATGCACCTCGACGCTGATTCTGTGCCACCGTAAGAGCAATGTTTGATCACCATTAATTTGGATTTGTCTATGTTCCTGTTGCTAAGAAATATTTGAGTATATCATTGGTAATTTCGATGCTTTTTGCATTTCAAGCATTTCATGACTAGGTCACATAGAATACATGCAATAAGGCTCCATGATCTTGAATGACACCTTTTAATCATTCTGCTATGAGCTTATATTAGTGCTGTGTTGGTCAATGGCTACAAATGCTTCAGTCATCCACACAACGCTTATTTATTAGTATTTTTTTGTGTTTTCTTTTGAGGCTTAAAGAAAATATGTTCTGTTAGAGTATTCAAAGAATTAAAAAAATTGTCGTTTGGGTACATCCTCAAAATTTTAAATTAAATACAAATGGCTTTTTTCTCAAGTTTGAGTAACTTAACATATTGAACACTGCATATAGAGTTATAAAATACAGTAGGAACACACCATCGTGATATTTCACTGCTTTCCATAAGCTGCTACTCAGTTCTATGAGTTTACTAGTTGTGGTACCACCATCAGCCAATTATCTACAAAATTACAAACAAGGTGTATATGTATATGCATAGAGAGAGAGAGAGAGAGAGAGAGATATATATATATATATATATCTGCAAAACATTAATTCAGAAATGTGAATTTAACACAAGATGAATCAAATATTAATTCTGTGATACTGTGCTACAACTTAAAAGATTAAGGTCATACTAATTAAAAAATGAAAATTAACAGATATTAAATTTGTATCCTAATGAATCGAAGCTAGGGATGTTGATTCACAGAACATATTTTTGTTAAGATAATATTGAAGACAATCATTTTACGTTTTAGAATTTATTAGTTGAACAATATTTTTTTCAAAACCATAATATAATCCACAAGCTATTGGTTTTATATAATAGATTACTTGAAAATGATACAACAGCATATCATATCAACGTCTATCATAAAATCACCAATTTAACTTTTAAAAGAAATAAATCTCCTTAGTAAGATGTAATTATTTCTATTTTTTATTAAAAAAAACTTCAATTTTTATCTATTGTATATTATAATATGTTTGTTATCCAAACATGTTATCCAAACTTTTTTGTGTTTTTTTATTCATTCCTTGATTTTGATACAAACTTGGTATTACAAAATTTATTAATTATCTTTATTTTAATTTATTATATACATATATAACATTAACAAAAAATATGCTAAATTTTATAAATTTTACACTCTTACCATTATAACATAGACTTTTGCAATAATCAAGAAGTCTACTTGAATTGATCCTCCTTGAGTTGCCTTCATAGTTAGAGAAATAAGTCTAAATGTTTAGAAGAAAAAATGAGGTAGAATACATTTTTTATCTACATGGCATAAATGTTATTGTTTTCCACAATTTTTGTTGGGTCCATCTAAAGAAGAGGGTTTTTAATTATTTTAAACTTTTGTGTTAATTTTTTTTAAAAAATACATTAAAAGTATAAGAAATAAGTTTTTTATACTTTTCAAATTCTTTTAAATAAAAATATGGAAAAATATCATATGTATCCCTTAAATATGTTGAAATATCAAGAATACCCCTAAATTCTTGATAATAGCAAATGTACCCTTCAATTTTGTGAGAATATCAAATCTGCCCTTTCAATCTGATAAGCTATCACAAATATTTATTTTTTAAGTGCAACTGGCCCAACTTCCATGCCGTAGAGAATTTGGTGAGCCATCGTCCACTTTTTTTGGCAGAGGAAACTACTGAGCATTGGCCATGTCAAGCTTTCTTTCCAAAATCTGATGAATGGATTCACGCAAGATCATTGGTGTAGAGGACCGAATCGACATCCTATGAATGGGACGAATGCAAACCCTTTAGTGTAACATGTTGGGTGGACTATTTTGGGTGAGTAAAAAGTAAGGCATGTTTGGCTTGGGCCCTTGCTCTATGACGACTTCATTGTTATGCGATTACACATGAACAGATAGCAACCTTTGATCTCTAGAAAAGTGTTTGATACTGTTGAGAATGTTTAGAAAGACACAAGAATAATAGTAAGTCATACACACACACAAGAATAGTAATAAGTCATACACACAAGAGGGTTTCTAAGGAGAAAGAGCTTCACACACACCAATGTCTATTAATCTGGTTGTGTCTCGTATACTAGAAGAGAAAAGAGGAGAGAATAAATAGTACTTCTCCACTAGACTCTAAATACTGTAGCTACAGTAATTACTGTAGTCTACAGTAAATATTATGGAGAGCGCTGGCTACATTTAATGATCTCAACACTCCTCCTCGCTCATCATAATATTTACATAATATAAATTTTTTATAGAATTATGATCTATACTTTTCTGTGATCTTCCAAGATCAAGAATTGTTGCCTCATTAAAACCTTATCTAGAAAAACCTTATTTTATTTAAGGACAAAACCATAGATGAAGGAAAAAGAGTACAACATCATTTTCTTTAATTATTTAAAGAGCTCATTAACTTTCTTATTCAAGAAAAGCAAGTCGCCGCATACTAATGCCATAAATAAATCGACGATGATTGCTTAATGGGAGAACTTTGGTGAAGAGATCAGCAAGGTTATTTCTAGATTCAATTTTCTTAATTATAAGTGCTTGATCAGTAATTAAGTCATGAGTATAACTAAAATACTTTGGATCAATATGCTTTGTCCTATCGCCTTTAATGAAACCAACTTGCATCTGTATAATACAAGCACTATTATCTTCATACAAGATAGTTGGAAAATCATCATATGAAAATCCACATATTGTTTGAATGAATTTATCAATTGATCGCAACCAAATATATTCTCGAGATGCTTCATGTAAGGTAATAATTTCTGCATGGTTGGATAAAGTTGCAGTTATTATTTGTTTCACTAATTTCCATGATATTGCAGCTCCATGTCTTAAAAATACATATCCTGTTTGAGATTTAGCTATTGCAATATCAGATCTATATCCTGCATCACAATATCCAATCAATTTTGGATCTACGGATTTTGTGTAGTATAATCCCAAGTCTTTAGTACCTTTTAAATAACATAATAAATATTTGATGCCATTCCAATGTCGTAGTGTTGGACGTGCACTATGTCTTGCAAGAACACTAACTGCAAATGCAATATTTGGTCTTGTAGATGTAGCTAAATACAAAAGTGCTCCAACTGCTGCAAGGTATGGATATTGGTCTCCCAATATTTCCTCCTCGTCCTTGCATGGATGGTATAGATCATGACCATCACGACCACGTCCAACCATATGTGTGGACAATGGATAAGCATCAATCATATTAAATCTTTGCAAGATTCGTCTAATATACGTTAGTTGGTAGAAAAAAATGCTACCATCTGTAAGATGCATAATCTGAAGACCAATGTAGAAAGTTATTTTTCTTAGTATTTTCATCTCAAATTCACGTATAAGTAGGTTTGTAGCTGTAATACATGCAGATGTAGTGCCCACTAGGTTAAGATCATCAACATATACAACGATGATCACAAAACCATTTTTATCTCGTTTGATAAATAAACAAGGGATTAGTGGATCACTTATAAAATTATTTGTAATTAAATAATCTCGAAGACGTTGATACTACATTCATCCAGATTGTTTTAAACCATACAAGGCCTTACATAATTTAATACCACGATATTTTTCTAGAGTGGGTTGATTTGGAGTTCATATTTCTAAGCCAGGTGGAACTTTCATATAAATATTTGCATTAAGAGAACCATATAGATATGCAATAACTACATCCATCAAATGCATCTCAAGGGTGGCATGAACTGTCATTCCAATAATATATCAAAATGTAATTGAATCCATGACTGGAGAATATGTGGATTCATAATCAATGCCAAATCCTTGAGTAAATCCTTGAGCAACAAGACGAGCTTTATTGCGTGTTATTTGGCCTTGAGCATCTGGCTTGCATATTAATACTATTTTATATCCCACAAGGCAAGATATAAGAGTGTCTACAATTGGACCAAAGACTTTTCTCTTACGCAAAGAGGCATACTCCTCCTCAATAGCAGTTTTTCATTTTGACCAATCTGAGCAATGCATCGCCTCTTTGATGGTTTGAGGTTCAGGATCGTTTTCCTTGCAAGAAAGGGCTTCTATAATCATATATGCAAATGATTCATCTACCGTAACAGATGGTCTGTCCCAAATATCATCTGTAGCACATTATAGAATAGATAATTCTTTACTCAACTTGTTCTTATTCCTTCCAATTCCAAGTTTCTTTTTCATAGGAATTGAAGGTACATTATGCATGGATATATCATCATGAATTGGTAGTCCTGCAAGATGAGTGGTAATTTCTTGAGAAATAATACCAAGATTAGATAATTTTATAGCTTTCTTCTTACGTGGTTGCTTATTTGGTCCACGAGTTCTTTTAGTTGTTGTTGTCATAACTTGAGGTATTGTAGTCAATGGCACTGCAATCTGAGTAGGTGCATTCTGAGCCTCATTAATAGGAACTCTTGTAATTCTAGGTACATCATTGAAGCCACAAGTGTTTCATCCGTAATCCATTTTAAATGTAAAATCTTAGCAACTTCAGTTTCTGCCAAAGATGTTCTAGGATCGGGATTCATTGTAAATATTTTTGGTGCTTCAAATATAAGTACTTTATTTCTTTGTTGATTAGATATTGCTCCTTGAAGAGATGGAAATATATTTTCTTCAAAATGGTAATTTTGCAAACGTGTACGTAATAATGTGCCAGTTGATGGATCAACAATACGAATAATGCTTGGTGAATCAAAACCAATATATATGCCTTCTTGTCGATGAGCTCCAATGGTATGCCGTTGAGGTTCTGGTACTAGAGTCTAAGCACGGCAACCAAATACTCATAAGTGAGATACATTTGGAACATGACCTAAAATGAGCTCATGTGGTGAAACAATTTCAAGAGAAGAAGGGCAGAGGCATATTAATACTGCAACATTTAAAACTGCATAACTCCACATAGATGCAGGTAGATTTGCGTAAAGGAGGAGTGGCCGGGTAATGAGTTGTATACACTTTATAAATGACTCTGCAAGTCCATTTTGAACATGTTCATATGGAATACAATATGTCAACTTGATTCCTGTTGCAATACAATAGTCTTCAAAAGATTTTGATGTAAATTCTTTTGCATTATCTATATGCAATGTTTTTATAAGATAATCAAGAAAATGTGTCCGAAAGTGAATAAGCATAGATATAAGATTGGCAAACACCATGTTTCGAATTGATAATAATAAAATATGAGATTGTTTATTTGATACATTAATAAGGACCAAAAAATAACGAAATGGTCCTGATATTGGATTAATAGGATCACAAATATCACCATGCAATCTTTCAAGCATTGGT